GATGAAAAGAGACACCATATTTTTTTTAAGTCGAAGCCAAGGGGAGCAAATACATTGAAAACAACACAGGCCCAAGGATCGAACCTTGCGGAACACCCCAACCAAGAGGAATGTCAGTAGAAACACAAAGCCCTATTTGAACAGTAAAACACTTATTTGACAAATAAGAGCGAAACCATTGTAAAACTATACCACAAAGTCCTACACAAGACTCCAGGCGTGACAGAAGAATCTTGTGGTTGACTAAGTCAAATGCAGCACTTAAGTCTATGAGGATAAGAGCCATAGGTTTCCCTGAATCTGTCATGAGAAATATGTAATTTAAGGGCAGATTCAGTGCTATGAACTTTAAAACTTGATTGAAGTACTTCATTAATAGAGTTATCTGACAAGAAAGACTGTAGTTGAACCAGTACAACTTTCTCCATAATCGTTGAAATAAAAGGAAGATTTGAGATGGGCCGAAAATTGGAAAGATGTAGGATCGAGGTTCGTTTTTTTAAAGATACGGTGTTACAGTAGCCTGTGTAAGGCAAACTGGAACAGTACCAGTTTGTAAGCATTTATTAATTACTGATAACAGACTTGGGCCAACTGCATCCATAATTTGTTTAAGGAAAAACGGAGGAACTATATCATGGACATGATGTAAGCTTGAGATGATCCATCATTTCCTTTGTGGCTTTGTTCCTTTCCTTTCAGTGACTCCCTAGATCTCGCTCTCTTTATATGCTGCAAGCATAGGCTACATAATAAATAGCTATTATTGGTCATGTTATTTTGAAGGGCTATTAATAAATTAAATACTATTAGGCTATATATTTTTTGTAGGCTATCTATTCTCAGTTGCTCATGCTGCTACTGTTATGTAATGCCTAGGGCAGCTTTCCTAAACAAGGCATTCTTTGAAAATGTTTGGTTTGTTTTAATCAAATATCACAGATGCTAGTTCAAGAATCACTGTAATTGTCCAGTTAACTAGACATTATAAAGGTTAACACACTCGAACCAGTGATGTAAAGGTTAAAGGAAACAGTGTGTCATTATAACGCTGTTATTTAAGTATTTGTATTTTTAGTATATGTTTTACGTATTCCTATATATTTGTTTTATATGTTCTGTTTTTAATGTTTCCATTTCGTTCGGTATAAATGGTACCATTCAAAGCACGCTCTTATATTGATTTACAAAGGATGAAACAAGTCCAATTTTTTAGCATACAAACAATTTCAAAACGGTCTAGTTTTATTTACACAGTGCAAGTTAAAAGCACTGTTGCAAGTTGCAACACTCTTGGCTTTGCATTATAAAGTCCTCCAAAGGCGCACATCTGCGCAGACGCGAGTCTGTCGACCAGCATTTGAAACCAAAACAGGAAGTCTTAAGTATTGTGGGACGTGTAGTTCCGCTTGTAGGCCGCTGTTCTGTATAACAGCACACGAAGGAACCAAACAAAACAAAATTAGGGAAACTTCCAAGGGACTGCTGTAATACTGGTGCATCTTTTACACGATCATGCCCGGCTTTACGTGCTGCGTGCCCGGTTGCTACAACAACTCGCACCGGGATCGCGATCTGCGGTTCTACACCTTTCCGAAGGACCACACTCAGCGAGAGATATGGCTGAAGAACATTTCGCGGGCCGGGGTGAGCGGCTGCTTCAGCACTTTCCAGCCCACCACCGGACACCGGGTCTGCAGCGTCCACTTTCCCGGCGGCAGGAAAACCTACACCATTCGCGTCCCGACGCTTTTCCCTCTGCGCGGGGTGAACGAGAGGAAGAGCAGGCGAGGAAGGAGCAGGAAGGTCTCCGCGGTCGTGCCCATCATCAGCAACGTCGTTTCCACCGCTAACGAGTCAGCGCCAGTGGAGGAAGAGGGGGACACCGAGAACACCACCGTGGTGCAGATAGGTCAGAACGGCCAGTACATCGCGCCTGTGGACCTCGCCGCTTCAGGGGACGGCTCCTGCCTCGCGGCGGTGGTCTCGGGATCCGGCGAAACCCTGACCGGAGGCAGCGCGTCGTGCCCCGTTGCCGATCTCGTGCTGTGCGGGGTGGACCACTCGTACTCGCTCACCACCGGCACAACGTCCGCTGAACTACTGAGGAAGCTGAACGAGCAGCGGGACATCATCGCGCTGATGGAGATCAAAATGAAGGAGATGCAGAACACCATCCGACAGCTGCGGGTCAACGAGGCACGGCTGCAGGAGGAGCTGCGGGAGCGGGACCGTCTGATCTCCACCAACACCATCATTACGAGGAAACTCTGACGAACGACGCAGAGAAACGACGGACTAAAGACGCGAAGGAAGGTCGGTGTTCGGTGCTTCTGTAAGACAAGGCGACGACAATTAAGTATCATCGTAGTTCTCATTTAAACTTCCTCCAGGACTCAGAAGTGGTAGATAGGCTGTGTTTGTGTTAGAGCGCAGATACATGAGTTCAACTTGTATGCTCGAGCTGTCCGGCACAGCGCTACACGGGGACTGAGATGAGTTCAGCAGACTGGTCCTTCTCATTTTATATGTAATGATGATACACGTTTGTGTGTTGAAGGCAGCAGACCCAAGATCTGCCTACTGCCACACTTCATAACCACGTTACACGCACACAGAGACTGCTTCATAAGTGTGTAAACAACTGCTTATTATTTGGGTTTCTTTCTTTGATTATAATATTTCAGTGCATCAGATCAGAGCTTCTGGTCCAGATGAACCGATTCTTTACATGCAGGTTAACGCAGTTAGAAAATATGATTGGTTTGAAGTAAACTGCTTTTGGACTATAATTTGTGGGACTGTTTTTGTAGTATTGCATTTAAACAAATTATTTAGTTAGGAATCTCTTTTGTAAGATTCTTTACCACACAAGTTCTGAATATGTTGTGCACTATAAAAGCTGTTTCTTTTCTGTTTGAAGCCTTGCGGCATCACATTTATATAAGGAAATTTCATTTTAATTGTCTTCAGTAAAGCATCTTTAAATTAACCAACCTTTCCAGTATTTAGCAAAAAAAAAAAAAA